GGTGCCACCGGAGCAGCGGGAGTCGGTGTCCGCCTCCGCCCCTCCCGGGCGCCCGCGCGTTCCACTGCACTTACTGCTACGAGCAAAGCAGGGCTGAGAGCAGCAGAGAGGGACGAGGCACTAGAGTAACTTCTGTGCTGTTGCTCAGGAGCCATGGGGGACGAGGAGAGAAGGGCCGGTGCGCTTCCCAGTCCCACGCCCAGACCATCCTCAGGCAGGTGAGCAGCACCACGGGCAGCAAGGACCCACCTTTCGCTGCCAGAGGTAAGAGACCAGTCAACAGCTGGGATGAGCCACGGCTCTGTCAGAGCAGCACTTTATTACACGAAGAGGGAAGAGGAGTGACCATCTGTCATGCCCACAGGGTCAGACCCCACTAAAGCCTAACACTAGGAATGCTTTCACATCGCTAGCACCTTTGGCAGCCTTTGCCTCAATAGCAAAATGCTTTTTGTGCACCAAAGTTCCTCAGGAGACAATAAGCCCACCTTAAATGTCCCCATCTGGAGGAGGTTGTCCTTGACTTCAGCCCTCTTCCTGCCTGGCGTTGGAGCAGTGCAAAGAGCAAGAAGAGCATCAGGGAGAACAGCAACAATGAAAATACCCATGGGCATGTGGGAGCAGATTCTGCCCAAGGAGAGCACAGAAGTGTCAGGGACAGAGTGAAAAGGGAGCACTAGCTGCCCCTCCACCCGAGCCAGGTGAGCAGCAGAGAGGCAGGGAGAGCAGCTCACTGTTTCCAGAGTAGAGATGGGGCAGCCAGCAGAGAGGAATGGAGTGTGGTCCAGAGGTTCACAATATCTGTCTCTCAAAGTCAAGGCAGATGGGAGATGGGGCAGAGGCACTTTGGTCCCTTTGGAGAGGTGGTTTAGGGCCCAGCCTGCAATGCATTTGTGTGGCAGCACCTGCTCTAGCTAACGAAGCCAGCGACAAGATACAAGCTTTGACAGCAGATGCAAGATAGGGCAAGAGGGATCCAGGCCCAGGTCAACCTTTGAGACCAAAAGGCTTTCTGAAACCTCTTAAAAGTCCAATTAGAAACTATTTCTGCATGGGACACCACAAACACTGGGTCCTGGAAGTATCCAAGGCTTCTCAACAGTGCCCTTGAGGAAGCTCTGATGATGGTACCACCCCTGCCCAACAGAGAACAGCAATGCCAGGAACAGTTCGCACTAACCCCACTACAGGTCAACGACCCTCTTCTACAGCGTGGTGCTGCCCCACAGCTGCTGCAAGCCCAGAGCCAGGCACAGGGGACATCACTGCTCAGAGTTTTCCTTAGACTAAACAGGGCATGGAGGAGACTGATATTCAGCACATCCAGACTGCTGCAGTTCTGGTCAGTTCTTCTTGCTACTGGGGCTCTTATTGGTGAACAGACTGACTTTGCTGGCAGATGCCATGGACAGGGAAGGAGACTCCAGCTTCACCTTATCCAACAAAGTCTTCTTTATGGCTGCTGGGGAAATCTTCTCCTGGTCTGCCAGATGCTGCAGCTCCCTGTAACAGGGTGATGGGAGAGAAAGACATAGCAAAAGGAGAAGACAGGGAGTGTGGGGGGCAAGTTTTGAAGGCTCTTTAGGACTTCCTAGGTGCCCACCTTGTCCGGATGCAGGAAGCCTCCACAGCATTGATGAGGAGTGAGCGAAAGCCACCGCTCTCCAGGAAGTGCAGGGCATGGATGGTGGCTCCCCCAGGGGAGCAGACATTGTCCTTCAGCTGCCCAGGATGCTGCTCAGATTCCAACAGCATTTTGGCAGCCCCCTGCAGTGAGGAAAACAGCTGCCAGGCTCTGACTGAGGAACTGTACTCCTGTTCTCCACCACACAGAGCAGCACCCAACACACCCTGTGGGCAAAACCAGTCTCCTGCCATTAGAAGGCTGCCAAAACACTTCTCAGAGCTGAAAAAAGCATGCAGAGGAGTCCCAGCCTCCCCCAGCCCCAGCTTCCACAGCAGTGCCAGCAGATTGCTGGGGGCACTTCCCATATCTCTGCACCAGGAACCTGCCTGCAGTCAAACCAAACACGCTTTTAAAAGTAAATTCAGTATGAGGCCAAAGGTCATTTCAAACCACAATAAGCATAACCATCTGCTCAGACTCAAACGTGTTCTGAAGGAGGAAATACTGACCAGCAGAGCCTGTGCTCCCAGCCGAACAGCCAGCCTGCGGGGAAGGCCCATCTTCACTCCCCCATCCGCCAGGGCATCCAGGGCAGTGAATGCCTGAGACCAGACAGGGAACAAGGTGACTTGAAGTCTCTACTCCATGACTGATACTCTCAGGGAGGAGAGAATCCAGGGCTCCAGGATCACACCGTGACTCCTGGTGCTTACAGACTTGACAAAAGCCTCCCCCTGTACTGCATGGCAGCTGTGCCAGGCTTTCCTCCCACCAGGTCCACCTCAGGAGTGGGGAGAACAGAAGTTCAGGTTCTGGCTCATGGACTTCAGGCCCATGTTTTGCAACATGGGTGCATGGACACTGCACACTGGCTATGGACTTCAGACTCATCTGGCTGGTAAGTGACTTCTGTTGTTGACCCAAACTGGCTATAAACTGGACACCTGGATTACATGTCCCATCACAACCGTGAGTGATGAGAAAAACAAGACAAGACAAACTGACAGGCCCTCACCACAGGCCAGGCCCACCGCTCTCCCCAGGACCACCACAGCTGAGGAAGCAGCACATACATAGGCAGGGCCACTGCCACTGAGCCCCGTTACAGCATCTATCAGGTCCTCCTCCACCTCGGTGCAGAAGCCCACGCTGGCCATCAGTTGCTCCAGGAGCTTCCCATCCTCCACATCCGCGTGAGTCCCAGTGGCATAGACTGTAGCACCTTCCCGGACAATCACAGGGGTGTTGGTCATGCACCTGATCACTTTTGGTGTGGGGCAGAAGGTAGACAGTTTCTTAGGGCAGAAAATTAATGGAGGCAGAAAGAAAGAAAAAGAAAGAAGGGAGAAAAATCAGCTTTAGTGCATATTTGGCATAGCAAACAGGCTGTCTAGGAAGGGACTCCCAAGGGGCAGGAACAACACAAGCAGAGGGAAGAGACTCCTGTACTCCAAACTCCCTGTTCTGAGACAAGGCAGCCAAAACTTAAACGTGGTACCAGTCAAGAGGCAGCTGGCAGAGCTGCTGGAGGGAACAACACCCTGAGCACCTGGTTCCACACCAACGCACAGGTCTCCAGACCTGCTCCTGCAGACCCCCGGTACAGGCTGCAGAAACTCGTAAGAGAACCCAGCTCTGATGTGACAGGAGACCCGATGGCCCCGCGTGTAAGAGCTGCAGGGACTCTTGTTCCCGAGGGCGGGCAGGGGCTCCGCGAGGGACCCAGTCAAGGCTGGGGAGAAGGGGCAGCGCCTGTCCCTGGCACCCACTCCTGGGGGCTCCCGCCCGGGCCTGCCCTAGGGCAGACGCCTCCGGGCACCGGGAGAGCACCATGGTGCGTCTCTGCGAGGCCCCGGCCCCCGGCGAGCCCCCTGCCCCGTCACCCCTCACCTTCTCGATGGAGCTGATGGTGACCCCGGCCGCGCAGGACACCACGATGTGGCGGG